ATGGTGTGCAGACAAATTCCCAGCCGTAGAAATCTGAGAAGGGTGACCGGTTCAATTATTGAACTAAATTTTCTAACATTTTGGTCACCCGGCGTTTGATATTCATTTATTTAGGTATGTTTTATTGTATATAGATCGAGTTGTTTTTCGCAAATTGGTGATGTTAGGGAGACTTTCGAGTCGGATACTACGGGAGGTTTGGGCCAACACCAAGTGAATCGATTCCTACAACGGTGCCCGAGCGATTAAACCTAGTTACACATGAGAGAAACCGGCAAATGTGAGATCAGAGTGTACACTTAAAGAAGAGCTCCACCCGAGCCCATCCAGCTGCTTTCTCCCTACTACAAATATTCTTCATTGTATGCATGTTCCATTGAGGCTGCGACTGCTCATCCCTCCTTACTCACCTAAAGGAGTTGTCCTGGGTGTGGTTTATGGTTCCATTGTCATCGGATGAAAAATTCGTGAGGTAATAGCAAGATCAATTCTGACCATGTTGACTAACGGGGATCAGGTTCTACGGTTCTATCAATTCTTTTTATTTTCTTAGGATAGTTCATCCCGAGTTCATTTTAGTCTTGTCTTACTTGAGGACAAGTAAGGTTTCAGCTTGGGGTGATTTGATAGTTAGTTTTGTTTGCTTCTTTTTATAGTTTATTTTAGCATATTTCATTCATAATTTAGATAATTTCCATGCATATTTTCCTTTTTGTTATTTTATGACTATTTCGGGTACTTTCGAATCTTGTGAGCATAATTGCAGGTTTTCGGGTCTAGCGGAGCGGGAGTGTTCGGAACATATGGGAGGCGATGAGATTTGGTAGACAAAAATGATGTTGGGCTTGATGGGTAGTGGAGATGATGCATGGAGTGATCTTGATGATTATTTGAAGGCTTGGAGAGAAATAAACTTTAAATTTGCAAGATGCGGGGGAATATTCAAGCGTACGTAGATTATTAATCGGGCGAGTTCACGAGCTTTGGAGGATTTGGAGAGGTCAAATTGGGCTTAAAATGAAGAAAAACTTGAAGAAAATGGGCTAGGAGGTGATTGGATTCGATCTGGGCTAGTGGGATATGCTTCGGAGGCCCAAAATCTCAAAGAAGCCCATGTCAGGCACCACCCGCGCAACCCACCCGCGCAGCAGCATGCGGGTCGCGCAAGGCTCTGCAGGGGTAATTTCGGAAATCCATTTGGAAGGCTATTTGAGGAAGGTTGGTGCCCATCTTTTGGATACTCTTGGACATCCGATTTTTAAAGATTCTCTCTGGAGTTTTGAAGACTTTTGAAGGCCAAGAACCCTTGAAGAACATCATATTTTTACCTCTTGATTCTTGCTTAATGTTTGGTACAAATTTCTCTAACTTTGTTTCTTTGGGTTTAGCCATGCTTGGCTAAGCTAATCTTGGTTGACTTTTGGTTAATCCTTTGAACTTTTGTTGAATGTTGAAGAATCCATGAACATGTTCTTGAATCTTTATGGGAATGTTTTGTGTTTTAACATCTTATCATTACTTGTATGTTTTAGTTCATGAGTTTAAATGTGTTTGTGGTGATTAGTTGGCTAATTTCTTGATTAAGTAAAGGATCCTCAAATTAGCAAGCAACAAATGATTTTTGTGTTGTTTTTGCTTCACACAATCATAAAAACATTTCCTCCAACATGGTGGTGAAAGCATTTGACCCCTCTTGGATTTGGTGACTTTTTGGTTCTTAATGCTAGTTGACTTTCACTAATTACATGCTATTTGGAATTAGTGACTTTGACTAAGGAAATTGTTATGAGCTTCTCTAGCCATTTCAACAATTAAGAAAAGTCTAGGTAATCTCAAGCTCCTTGGATTACTATAGCCGAATTGAGGATTTAAAACAAGTATTGCACCATTGAATTCTAATGATATGTTCATCAAAAGTCAAAGTGAGAAAACTTTAAGTCAACCATCTTTCCCTTATTGATTTTACATCAAATTCTTATTTTTGTTGCAATTGTCTATTTAAATCATAGTTAATTCTAGTTTGTTTCAAGTATTTCAAAACATCAAAACCCCCATTTTTAATTTATTGTCATATTCCAAGTATTTTACAAAGAGATTTTTCATAGAGTTATCAAATTGAACAAATCTCCGTGGATTCGATCCCTTTACCACTATACACTATTTTAGTGTGTAATATTTAGGGTTATTATTTGTGTTGGCCTCGACAACCACCACCTAGTGCATAACAAAAGTTCTGTTTGAGGCATATCCAAGAAAACATGAAGAAACAATGGAAAGGAAAAGACTTAAGTGACCAACTTTGGGAGTGTGGTAGAGCAACAACAGTCAATCATTTTAACAGAGCAATGGATGATTTGAAGAAGATCAATGAAGAGGCTGATGCTTGGGTGTGTAAGATCCCAACAAACACTTGGGCTAAATCTCACTTTAGTGGTAAATTTCTAGAAATTTATTGATAAATGTTAATCTTCCCTGTTGTTTGTTTACTATATGTGTAATTGTCTTCTCTTAATATCTATTATTCAGGAAGGGCACATACTGATTGTTTGGTGAATAACCTTTGTGAGGTATTCAATTCTAAGCTAGATGAAGGTAAGGATAAACCTATTATCACTTGCTTAGAGTATATTAGAGAGTATCTCATGAAGAGGTTATGTGTGGTGCAAAAGGAAATAGATAAGTCTGAAGGATTTCTAACCCTTACTGCAACTACAGTGTTTGAAAAGATTAAGACCGATGCAACTAAGTATGTGGCTAAATACAATGGGGCAGGAAAGTACCAAGTGGCAAGCACATGGCAAGACCAGTATGTGGTAAACTTGAATGACCAAAGTTGCAGTTGTAGGTTTTGGGAGATTACAGGTTTCCCATGTAGACATGTTGTTTATGCTATATGGGACAAAATTGAAAATGGTGAAAATGGCCCATATGTTGATGAATGGGTCCATCCTTGCTATCGGTTATCAACATGGAAAGCCATGTATTTCAACAAAATTGATCCATTGAATGGATGTTCAATGTGGCCTAAAAGTGATTGCCCATTCACTTTACTTCCACCAAAACATAAAAAACAGGTTTGTATTTCAAGTAGACCAATTATATAGTAAACATGTGAACATAGAATGAATTCAATTTTAACTATAGTGTATCAATATGTGTAGGTTGGAAGGCCTAAGAAGAAGAGAAGGAGGGGTGTTGATGAGCCAAACAGCCAAGCTGGTAGATCGAGCAGGAAATATCTGGCAGTCACTTGTTCTAAGTGTCATAACAAAGGGCACAATTCCAGAACATGTAACGGGTAGGGAGGTAGTGGTGAAGTTGGAGGGGGCTGAAAAGTATTTTTAGTAGTTGGACCTGGTGCTAGTGTTGTAGGTCTTTTGAAATTAAAGTCACGTGTAATTTTTTGAAGATGTGTTAAGAACTTTTCAGGGAATTGCATGTAATGCTTGTGTTGTAGGTCTTTTGAAACTTAAGTCAAGCTTGTGTTGTAGGTCTTTTGAAACTTAGTATGATGGTTATGTTAAGAACTTTAAAAATTTGCATGTAATGGTGTGTATGCAATATGCATATTTTGGTAATGAATTAACCTGTTTTGTGTACTACCCTTTACAAATCAATTAATAACATTGTACATTTCAATTGCAAATCAAAACCATCTTAAATAAGCATTTACAATACACTTAACAATTGCATTTCAAAAACATTCAAGAAATTGAACAATCAACTATTACAAACTACATTCCATTACCATTACCATTACCACTCCATTACACATTAATCTGATACATAAACCAAATACAACAACACCAATTCCAAAACCCCCTACTTAAACTGAAAGCAAAAAAAAAACCCTATTCGATTAAAAAAGAAAAACTGCAATGGTTACAAACCAAAAACCAAAACTCCATTACCATCCAAACCTTCACAAGATACTTAGAGATTAAAATAATACCAAAAAAAAAACACCCATGAACAAAACAACATCAGCTGGTAGTTCCACAATTCTGCACTTGCAATGACAACCCTCTCTTCCAATCGGTTCATTGAGCTTATCAAACCCAGAATCACCACCAATGCCCTAGCACACATAGGAGGATCAGACCATTGAAGGAACCCACATCTTGTACACTTCCAAAATTGTCTTCCAGGGTTACGATCCGTCCATGAAGTGATCTTCATTGTTTCATTCCCACATCTACAAGTCACCATCTTTGAATCAAAAGCGGTTGGATGTCGTGAAAGGTGCAACGGTCGAGCAACAATGGAAGGGAGAAGAGAGATGACGACTGATAAAGGTAAAGAGTTTGCCAAAAAATCGGACATGCAATTTCTTTTAAAGAGAGAAGGTTATAACTGAACTGACAAAATTACCCCTACAATATAAAATTAAAAAATGAGTTAACGGTAAAATGCTAACGAAGTGAGCCGGAAGGACCAAATGTTAAAAGTTTTGAAACCACAATGACCATCTGTGAGGTTTTTTGAACTTAGAGACTAAACTTGATATTTATGAAAACCATAGGAACCATTTTTGAAGTTTTGTCTTATATATATATATATATATATATATATATATATATATATATATATATATATATATATATATATATATATATATATATATATTCAATAATTTTATTCAAATGTTTTATCAAAAAATATACATTTTATTCATCACAAAAAATAACAAAACATCGTTTTCAGACACAGTCAAGCCATACCAGATTTCACTCAGTCGGCAACGAAACGATCAAAAACCGTTACACATACACTTTCAATGTAGGTTTTAGAAAACTTTATTTATTTATTTTTATCACAAGCAATTTTAATTTGTATCTATTCATCAATACATCTTTAACTTTTATCCCAAAAAGGAATCCACACTTTCAAAAATCCATTTGTTTTTCAACCAAAAATACAAATAAAGAAACATTCATGTAATTTAGTTTAGTACATAATGCAACATGAATATTAATTCGAGTGTTATGAAAATTTTCGAGTGAGTACCTTCGTGGATCATTTAATTTTCGGTTTATATAAGTAAATAACCATGTCATAAAAAAAATTACAAAACACATTCATAAAAAACTGCATAAGTGCATCACCTATTTACTTCACCCCAAGTCTTTTCAAAAAAAAAAAAAGAATATCTACAACAACCACCTTTTTCCAAATTTACAAAAAAATAAAAATAAACGTCAACTATCTTTTGGAAAGGATAAAATCGTCACACCACATTTAAATCTGATAGTAAATAAGAGTACAATTAATAAAAGGTCATCTAATATCTTGAGATTTCCCCCGAGTTTCTAGCTCTGCTTGCATCCATTGTTGAAATCATCTGTGGCATTGACATCCCCCCTGACACCACAATTTCTATACCCAAAAAAAAAAAAAACAAAATTACAATTCAGTTTTCCGTCAGACAGGGACTATTTTTGTAATCCCTTCAAACACATGGACCATTTCTGTAAAAATATCCGCACCAGAACCTTTTCCATAAATCACAGGAACAGTTTTTACAATTTATTTTCTAAATAAGGACCAAACGTGCCAACATGCAAAAATCTTGTGGCCAAAGTCTCGAACCCAATTTTTTTAAACACAGACCTTTTTTGTAAAAAAAAAAATGCACAGTGACATTTTCTGTAAATTACAGGAACAGTTTTTTTTGTAAATTATTTTCTACACAGGGACCAAACCTGCAAACATAGGAAAGTCTTGTGGCCAAAGTCTAAAACCCTAAAAGTATAATAATGTTCTAACTATAAAAAGAGTTGTAAATATATAAAAACGAAAGTACATTGCTATTTTTTTTACCTATTCCTTCACGAACAGATAAATTTGGTCTGATAACCTCTTTTGAATTCACCAAAAAAACATCCCCAATGTAAAGATGATTTGTTGGGACATATACTGTATACAGCTCCTCATCTCCCGAATAATTCTATGTCACAAAAATTCAATTATTGAACAAGGGTAGTTTGGGTATTACCATAAATATAATCAGATTAAAGGATGTGTAGAAACTACATACCTGAAGAGTGACTGATGAAGTAATAAATCCAAATGCATATTCACCGATTCGAGGATGTGCAATGATTGCAACTTCTTTAAAAGCTTGTGTGTTTTGATCTGTATCATTATGAATAAATAAAGATTGTGTCTTTTTTTTTTTTATATATTTTGACATAAATTTTATAAAAAAAATTACCTGGAGAAATAGCTGAACTGATCTGTTTGGATGCATTGTAGATGTGGCGAACGAATGGCATGCGTTTGATGAACCATTCTCCAAGGGTTAAAACAGATGCACCCAACCATGATGACATGAACACTCCAATTAGAAATATGAATGTGATTGAGGTTATGAACCCTAAACCTGTGAAAATATAAATTTGTAAGTATGATTGGAAGATATGAATGATAGTTATAAATGTTTGAAATGGATTATCATCGAGTGATTTACCGAATATGTTTATGCCAAGATGATCATAGATTGGAGAGAAGAATCCATCAACAAAATGTATAAACCACCATGTAATGTAGAAAGTAATAGCCATGGGTAATAAAATGACACTATAAAAAGGGTTAAAAGAAAACAATAAATGAGTGGGAAAAAAATAAAAATGTCTGAATTGAAAAAGGAAACTTGTTCTTAGTTTCTTACCATCCTGTCATAAACTTTTTAGATGCCCAGCTTCTGATAACTTTGCCGAAAGTCTACATAAAAGTAATAGTGTGTGTAAATGTAAATCAAACAAGTTTGTTTATAGTATTTTATGATTGATATAGACATTATTATAGTGGAATTAAAGAAGTTAATGATAATTATTTGAAGCTGAAAAGTAAATTAATACTTGATTTTAGGTTTGTGGCAACATGCCAACATGCGAGTTTGATGTACCATTTTTCTCTACAAACGAATCAATTATTTCTTATTCATGCTTATTGAGTGCCAGATTCAGTGTGAAAATGGCCAGTTTGGTTGATCAATGACAAAGATTCCCCAAATCTAAAAACCTAATTAGGGCACTTTCAGAAGTTTCAAAAACCAATGACTGATTTAGTTAACTTAAAACAGAATTGCGAATTCTATATCATACAACTGATTCCACCAAAACCCCATCACAATCATCTAAAATCCTAAAGTTCCATAAACAAAATTAAGCCAAATACATAGAAATATTAAAACCAGTTAGAGAGAGACCTCACGACCAGCGGTATGAGATGATGAAGTTGAAGAAGAAGAGGGTTTTGAAGAAGCGGCGGCAGCGTCATCGACGGTGTTAGCGACGGGTATAAGAAGCTCCCGATCTTTCTCTCGGCTAATCGGTAACTTTTCGTCCCCCATTACTTTCTCACTCTAAAACTTTGCTTCAAATTACAAAATCTGTAACTTTTTTGTATGTGGGTGCTATACTGTATACACCCACATACACACACTGAAATCTGAATTGGAATCAGGTGAATCTAAACCAAGGTAGTAGTCGCGAAGAATCAGAGGGTTTGTTGTTTGTGATTTGTGAGGAAGAGTAAGAAGCGATGTGTCGATTAAAAATGGTTATTTAAACCCTAAAATATATATAGATACTGTGTCATGTAATTTAGGCACAATCTTTGATGGGTGATGTTTTATGAGGGGCCGGTGGTCAATGAGCTGTACCTAATCATATGATTCCAGCTATTTACCACAAAAGTTACAAATCGTATCCCTATACTATTGCTTCAAGTCAGATTTAGTACCCAAACTTTAAGTCTCACCACTACTCATACAGTCGTCACAAACCGTTAAGTGTCCGGTTAAAGTCTAGTGCGTTTGTTAAATGAAAGCCTGTTTAAGGCCCAATTGTGAAGTGCGTAAAGCCTTATTGTGTCAACAAAAATAGGGAGATAAGTTGGTTTAGTTGACCTTTGCATATTGGGTCCCCCGCCTTCTGCTAGCCATGAAGGAACTAAGCCAATAAAACCGACCAAAAAATATTACTCTTTTTGTACATTCTTTAATAAAATACATGCACCCACGTTTATATCCTCCAACAAAACGTGATACACCAACAAAATCACAAACAAAGAAACAAAACTTCTCATAAATGTTAAATCTCCAATTCTCTCTCAGTTTTCTTGGTTTATTTCACCTTTCTATAGATAAAATTCGTTTTCAAAAGAGTAGCTCAAACAAATTCAGAGCATGCATCATGCCATAGATATGCACAAATTTTCATAAACATCAAATCATATCAACCGCAGAAACATTGTAAAAAGCAAGAAGCATGGATGAACTCAACCGCAATATAGCTCAAGTTCCAGAAGAAGCTCGTATCGAGGTCAAGAAAAGGCCCAACTCTGGTGAGTTTTCGATAACAAGTACATTTACGTCTTTTATACAAATGAGAGATGTCCCACCTTTTGGGGTGAGACACCAAATTGCAATTTATGTCACGTTAACATCAGTATCAGTCCAATACATGTCAAACACAGTACAATCTATCCTGTCATGTCGTGTGTGACCAACTGTTTCTATTTTTTTTTTTTTGGAAAAGATGAATTTGTTAAAGATTTTTATTTTATTTTATTTTGGTAGACATAGAACAAATGAAGGAAAGATTTGCAAAGTTGCTTTTGGGGGAAGATATGTCGGGTCATGGCAACGGGGTTTCATCGGCTTTAGCTCTATCGAATGCAATTACAAATCTAGCCGGTAATATTTTCTTTCTAAATTCCAAATTAATACATTTTTATTCATTTATATTATGTTTTTTTTTTTGGGTATTTCTACAAAAACAAGTCAAACCCTTTGACTATTTTTGCAGCTTCTGTATTTGGAAAACAAAATAAATTGGCTCCAATGCCGGAAGATTTAAAAAAGAGATGGAGAAAAGAAGTTAATTGGCTCCTATCAGTTACAGACAACATCGTTGAGTTCGTTCCATCTCAACAACAAGGAAAAGATGGATCAAATATGGAGGTCAACTATGTGTATTTTTAGGTGTTTTTGTGTGTGTGTGTGTGTTTAATATTTTATAAAATTATATCCCTCAACTTATTTTTTTTACTATTATTTTTGCAGATTATGGTCACACAACAACGAAGAGATCTCCTCATGAACATCCCTGCCATTAAGAAGCTTGATGCCATGCTCATTGTAATGAATCCTACATAAATTTATCATCTTAAAAGTCCAAAACGCCCCTACTGTTTAGATAACTTCAAATAAATTTTAATTTTAACGAAAGTATTAATATTAATATTAATATAAATAAATATTTCAGGATTGTTTAGATAACTTCAAAGATGAGAAAGAATTCTGGTATGTGGCAAAGGATGCAGATGAATCTGAAAAAGGTGTCCAGAGAATTGATAGATGGTGGCTACCAAGTGTTAAAGTTCCTGAAGGAGGGCTTTCAGATGAAACAAGAAAATGGATGCAGCATCAAAAGGAATGTTGCAATCAAGTTCTTAAAGCTTCCATGGCCATTAATGCTCATGTTCTTTCAGAAATGGAGATCCCAGAAACCTACATCGAAACTCTCCCCAAGGTAATCTTTGAGAATTTCTTTCTTTCAGGCTTCATGATTTGTTACCTAATCTATGAATTTATCTATCTCCACAACAGAATGGTAAAGCTAGCCTAGGAGATTCGATCTACAAGAGCATTACAGATGAGTATTTTGATCCTGGAGAATTCCTATCTTCCATGGACACATCATCAGATCAGAATGTGATGGAGCTCAAGAACAGAATAGAAGCTTCAATTGTGATATGGAAGAGAAAGATGAATCAAAAAGAGTTGAAATCGTCATGGGGTTCAAGCGTAAGTTCAGAAAAAAGAGAAGTATTTGAAGAAAGAGCAGAAACAATTTTACTCCTCCTGAAACATAGATTCGCAGGACTTCCACAATCATCACTCGACATTAGCAAAATCGAGTACAATAAAGTATGATCAAAATCCAAAAACCCTAATATATCTAATCTCCCCTTTTGTAATACAGTATAACTGATAGATTTTCTGATTATGAAATGTGTAGGATATTGGTCACGCTGTGCTCGAGAGCTATTCGAGGGCGTTACAGAGTTTGGCGAACACAGTGATGAACAGTATAGAAGACGTACTTTATGCAGATGAAGTTGTACGAAATCCAGAAATGGAGACGATGATGAAGAAGGAGCAATCAGTGGATGTTGTAGCACTATCAATATCAATATCATCACCGCGAGCGATACGAGGAGTGAAGGATTGGACGGGAGTTCATAGTCCTAAAGGAAAACCTAGCTCGATGAATCTGTTGGATTCGATGGGGTGGGGTTTCGATCAAGGGAAAATGGAGATGATGAATGGGAACTCTAGTCCAGTGAAAATTTTGACGAAAGCGAAGATGTCGTATATTGAGAAGCTTGAGGCTTATGGATTAAGAAGCCCAACTGCTAGACATTAATCATTAATGGCTTCCTAACTGTTAGAACAAGGTAAAGGAAAAAGCATTGTGAGAGTGAGGTGAAAAGAGTAGGAGTAGTGATTCGAGCTGTCAAGATTTTTGTTTCGAATTATGGCTTTCTATTGATCGAGACTGGTGTCCAATTTAAGTAGCAAAGACGGGGACAATTCTCCTGTATCATAACACTTCCCATTTCATAGAATGTGAATATGAATAAACTTCTTTTTGTCACTTAAATAATAAATGACTAACTTGATTGGTATTTTATTATTATTATTATTATTATTTTTTTTGGAATAGGCCAAACTGTTTAGGATTTAAAGTTTATCTATTATGTATCCGTGTATAATCTTTATTTGATATCAAACAATAATATCAAGACAATCTATTTTATATCATGGTATCAGAATTCAGAGTCAAACTCTCTCTCTCTCTCACACACACAAACACCACCAAAATGTTGATGGAACGGTGTTGTGATTAGGCGGCCACCCCTTTTGGCACCTTCACGCATTGAGCCCTTGGAATGGTCTTAAAACAAGAACAGGTAATCTGGATACAAATAAAGCTTAGGACAAAAAGGAAGAACTCAATAATTGTAATACTCATTTTCCAAGTAGTTATCAAGTTTTTGTTTTTATTATCACTATAAATAGATTTTAAGAAATGTATAATAACATGGTTTTTTAACCTTTGCACGCCTTAGAAGTGATTTTCCAAATCTTCTAAGAAAAAAAAGGATGCACAAACATTTTAACATCTACAGTCTCCTAAAAATAAACAATCAGTTAAAAATAGTTATAATGTACGAATAATATGTATATATATGTTCCTACATTCAGAAAACAAATCAAGAAATGAACATGATAAGTAATTTATGAAGAAAAAAAGAAGTTGTTGCAACTGAATTCAACACTTTGAAATTGTACACACAAGTGTCAAGCAAACCAAACTTTCCACTTAACATTCACACCCTGAAGATGATCTTTGTTGCTGCCCACTTCCCACATCAATCGTGTCCGGAAGGTATCTTCATCCACAACAAAACATGAAAAAAAAAACACTCAGCCTGACAGAGTGACAGTGACAATGACAATTGTCAGTGTTAGTGACAGATGTCAATGGGAAAAAACTTGCATCTTTTTTCCCACCAAGAAAGTGGAACAGAGATTAGACCCAATCTTTTGCTTGTGCAAAAGACGAAAATGCCCTTCTCATCTTCATCATAAAAATAGTCCTAGAAAGCTTGTCAAGTCTAGTCATGTTTTATCTTATTATACCATTTTTTTACATTATTTTTGTAATGAGAGTATGAGACCCACGATTATATCTTCATTTTTTCATGACAAAATAAGTGAATTTAATGATATTAAATGAGGGAAATGAATATAAACTTACATTTCTTCCTCGGGTTCGTTTTTGAGGGCGTTTTTGGCAATGCACTCGAAAGCAGCATCAACATTAAACCCCTCCTTTGCAGAAGTTTCAAAGTATGGAATGTTTCCTTTTGAAGCACACCATGCTCTTGCTTTCTTCTCAGACACCTGGAAATTAGGATAAAGAGATTATTATAAAATCTTGATGCATACTTTAAAAACCACACGAATTAAAAGATACACATTTTTCATGATTCAATATTTCAATTTGGTTTATAGAATGTTTTTGGAAGGAATGAAATCTGTCAAAAGAATTATAATATCACAAATTAGAATTTTGGGTATGAAATGAGAGATCAAATTTTCAATTAAGAAGATGGAATTCAAGAACAAAGAATCATCTTATCTCACCACTCGACTATTGCCTCCATCAACATCAACTTTGTTCCCCAATACAACAAATGGGAAGTTTTCTGGGTCAGAAGGGCTAGCCTGAAAATTCATGACAAAATCTTCAGTAGTTTATAACATGTACAACATGGTGTTAGACTGTGTTCGTGTGTTGTAAATTGTAATGAATCACTGAGTGACACCTGTTACCTGAATCAAAAACTCTTCCCTCCAATTATTTAGGTTATCAAATGACTTCTTGACATTAACATCATAGACAAGGACACAACAATCTGCACCTCTGTAAAATGCCACACCAAGGCTTTGAAACCTTTCTTGTCCTGCTGTATCCCATATCTGAAAGTACACAAAATATCATGCCATTTAAGGTTTCTGAAACAATAATGTCTTTTATGGATCATTTTGGAAGCATGTCTACCATTATAAAAGATGATGTGAGGGAAAGAAAGAGAAACTATGGTATACGAAATGGAGAATATATCTACACATGCAATGTTCTAATGAGATAGAACTAAATGTGATTATCAAACATAATGAACATGTTGCATAAAAAAGATATGAGATAAATATGGAAAGAGGAAGAAGACGAAGAGATAGTATGATGAAGACCTGCAATGTGAAAAGCCTGTCCTCGAATTGGACTTCTTTGGTTAAGAAATCAGCTCCAATGGTGGCTTTATACTGATTACTGAACTTTCGATTCACATATCTAAGTTAGAACCATTTAAGGGCAACATCAATAGCACAGCTGCATTTTAATTGTTGACAGCAGACCTAGTTCTAGTAAGTGCAGAATTGGTATGAGCATATTTGAAATTATAAAATCATTAGCATTTTATGATCTGATCTAATCGCAATCTTTTACTCCTAAAGCTTTAGATCCATATAATCGAAATTTGAAGTTAGACTAAATGGATTGACATCCAAAGTAGTGTAGCTTTCTATGAACAGAGGGAGTAAAATTATGATCGACATCACGAATTGGATTTAATATCTACCAATTCATACTAAATAGTATTAAATATTTAAATGCATAATTGTTTAGAAAACATCTAGAACTGAAGGATACTGATTCATAAGAGAGGTCTTCCCAACGCTGAAATTCGCCAATAAACATCAAAAACAGTTTAATAGACTCTAAATCAGTTTATCCAAACAATTATCAATCACAAAAACGTAAATTTAAAAATTAAAGGAGACATAGAGACCCGCTATCGCCGAGGATTATGACCTTGAGCAGCATTCGACGACGAGACGCCATGGATTCCGAGCTTCAAAATCTCTGATTCACTTTCTAAGCTGAAAAGATATCTAGGGCTTGAATCACATCACGAATTCAAAATCAAAAAGATAATCAAACCGCACGTTTAATTTTCGTCTTCGTTATATTTTCAATTGACACCCCTCTAGATATATCGAGTGTACGGAAACTGAATCTTTTTGACATATAGAAACATTTAACAGGAAAAAGCAACCAGGTTGTCAATAAGGCCTTCTAGAATTTTTATTTGACCATTTCACATCGGGACTTCACGCGGCAATTATTAATTTGTATATTAAAATATAATTTTCATTTCTTTTTTGTAAATTAAAATGTACTTTTTAATTTTTTATTTTTTTTATTAATGTATTATATATTTTATTTTATTTTTTCTAATAAAATTCATCATCTTTTTCATCAATCACATAAGGTCAACCGGTATACCATCAACGAACCCGGTCATGGTCTACATGGCCGCGGAAAATGGTCGTGCACACTAGCCTGGCTGTTCGTGGTGGTTTGTAGTGGGGAGGACGAAAGACAACACCCAATCGTTTTCTTTTTTTATCTGAGTTTTGAATCTCTCTCTTCTTTTTTTTCTCTTTCGTTCTTAGTGAAAAGTATTTAGATGGTTTGTGGTTGCTGAAAGGGTTGATCCGGAAGCTCTCCACGATTGATGTTGTGGAGAGTATAGCAGATGGTCTAAGTTAAAAGTTACTAAAAAAGAAAATCAAAATTGCTCCTTAAAATAAAAAACTTTAAAAAAAATATAGAAATCTATTTTATGAATGTAAATATATTCTTGTAAATTAAAAATTGTAAATACATTTACATTTTATTTTAATTTAAGCAAAAAATAATTTTGTAATACGCAGTATGACCCGTTGGAAATTTTGTTGTTTTTTTTTAAACTAGACAAAATATTATAAATTTATTAATTTATCATATCAAATATTGGTTATTTTGTTGTGCGTCTTTATAATATATTTATTATAAAAATTTGACTTAATAATAACATCATATTTTAAAAAAATCTGATTGAAATTTTTTGACAGATACAACCATTTCTTTTAATTATTTTGTCTTACAAAGTAACAAAATACGAGAGGATATACATGCATAATCAATATATGTTTTTATCATTCTTATTAGTCTACTTTGGGTTTCCTAGCACCATAGGATAGGATGTGGAACTCATAATACAACAGATCATATACAATAATATTATTAACTTAAAATCTATAATCGTAGTAGTTTTACAATCCATAAAGATCTAAGGTAATCCACAATGAGAGTTTAATAGAATAAACTTGAATATAATATAAAGGAAAGAGAATGTGGAGTTAAATCACCATTGAACGGTTGAATAAAATATGTAGTGAAAAGTTGTGAGTTTTTTAAGAATTTAATTGAATATATATAGTTGCTTTCCTAATTGACACTCTATTCAACTCTCCATTAGTTTAATGCATTAGAGATGGTCTAACAATGAGTGGTACTATCAACTTGTTGCCGGTTTGTTGTAACTCTAATTGAATCGATTATAAATTTATTTATTTTCTAAATTTACTTATTTTAAAATATATTTCGCTTACATAAACTTTCTAATGTTAGGCCAACCTACCATTAGTCCAATACAAATTAAGCGAGTCCAAAACCCAACTATCAAAACTTGTTACTTGAAAAAGCTTATAAACATCCATTTTTATATAACTTCTCGCAAAAAGAAAAAGATCAAAACATATTATGTTTAAATTCATATTTATTTGTATAACATTATTCTTTCAATTGTTTTTTAACAACTACCCTTCAATTTTAAATTACATGATTATCCCATAGTCGCCCTAAATCCCACATAACGTGCTAGCCATTATCCATAAACGACGACGTCCAAAATGACAAATGACAGCTACGATTATTTTGTCAAACCCTTTTAAAAATCCTCCATTTTCAATCCAACTGTCAAAAACAAACACCCCACAAAAGTCTCAACAAAAACTCTTTGAATCTTTCAAATTAGCATCCCTTTTATTCTTTCAAATTAAAGAATTGTATACCATTATATAGTTTCAAAAAAGACCAAAACAAATTTAAATACATATCCAAAAAAAAAAAAAATTAGCATCCGATTTTTATAC